ACGTCACAAAACGCTCCCATATGATCCTTCTATAATATCTAGGAGACGAAAGCATAATATAGTTCCCATAGCTACAGTCAAGTCAAGTTATGCTAAGAGGCAATTTATGACTCGATCTGGTTATTTATATAATACATTTAATAAAGTTTTAAACATTTACCCTATGACTAAGTACAATTGCAAAATGACTTTGACAGCACTATTAAAAACTTGGAGTTATGAGAAAACTGAGAATTTCTTGCTGAACCAAAACTAACACTTTCTTGGATTATATTTTACACATAATAGAAGCTTGAATAAAAAAAAAAAATATTGTATTTAATAAAATAGGAATGATAAAACTCACCTAAACTAAATTATGTAAGAATTCACAACAAATAATATTTATTTATTAAAATAGAAATGATAAAACTCACTTAAACACATACACGCACACACACACTCTCACACACGCGCGCGCACGCACGCACACGCACGCACACACACACACACACACACACACACACACACACACACACACACACACGCACACACACTTCTTTTGTAATATTGTAAATCCTTTGTGTATCATGTAAAATTTGTTTAGAAAGCATATATTTTTATCTACTGTAATTTGTCTGTTGTGGAGCAACTTTAAAAATCAAAATTAAAAATATGTTTTTAGATTAAGTATTGAAGTAAGTAGGTATCACATTAGTATTTGTTAATCAATGTTACGGAGAGGGGGGATTTCTAACACAAGTATTTATTTACTTAAAAGAAATCCTCAATCATAACAGTGCTATGTAAAAAATCTGATAATGAATAAATTATTTGATTTGATTTGATTTGATTTGTTGTCAAGGGCGCTCTGGCCCGTCTGAACATCTTTCTGGACGACGCTGGGATGCTTCGCGTTGGTGGACGTTTGAAAAATTCCCAACTGCCGTACGGGTCTCGACACCCGTTACTGCTTCCCAAGGACGGCGCCTTTGTTCGGTTGCTGGTAACCCACCATCATATTAAGAACGGCCACGCTGGGTGTAACGCTCTTTCAGCTATTCTGCAACGGGAGTTTTGGATTTTGGCTAGCCGACGCACCATTCGGAGCGTCATCTTTAAGTGCATATCTTGTTATAAACTGAAGGCCACCATATCGCAGCCTATGATGGGTCACTTGCCACCCGACCGCGTCAGGGCCATCCGACCATTCGCTGGAGTCGGAACAGACTTTGCTGGCCCCTTCCTCGTCAAGTCCTCTAACCTTCGTAACGCGCGTTCACATAAGGCCTATCTTTGCGTCTTCGTGTGCCTCTCCACTAAGGCCGTTCACTTGGAACTTGTAAGTGCTCTCAGCACGGAAGCCTTCTTGGCCACGCTGGGCCGTTTCGTATCACGGCGCGGTTTGTCGGATTTGATCCGGTCTGATTGCGGAACAAATTATAAGGGCACGGATAGGTATCTGAAAGAGGTCGTCGAATTTCTGTCCAGCCACCGGATTTATTTAGGCAATGCGATGTCAAAAAGGGGCATCCAGTGGAAATTCGACCCTCCGGCGTGTCCCCATTGGGGCGGTATTTTTGAGGCGGCGGTTAAAGTTGCAAAAACGCATCTCCGTCGCGTTATTGGTGAAACTATTTTGACATTTGAGGAGTTCGCCACTGTATTCTGTGAAACTGAGGCGGTACTTAACTCTCGGCCCCTCTGTCCCCTCTTGTCCGATCCGAATGATTTGGAGGTTCTAACCCTGGGACACTTCCTGATTGGCCGGCCTCTTAACGCTCTGCCCGAGTACCCCTTCATGGAAACGAACTCTTCGCCGATGAGCAGGTTTGACCTGCTGCAACAGATGACTCAGAGCTTTTGGCACCGATGGTCTCTGGAGTACCTACATCTTTTGCAGCAGCGCATTAAGTGGTCTGACAAGACGGATTCTCCTCGGGTGGGAGACCTCGTGTTGGTTAAAGAACCCAACGCCCTGCCTTTGTATTGGCGCCGTGGGCGCATTGTTAAGTTGTCGTATAGATCGGATGGGGTGCCTAGGGTGGCCGAGGTTTTGGTCGGAGATTCGGTCTTGCAACGTGCCCTCGCGACTTTGTCCCGTTTGCCAATCTACTCACGGACATAATTCCTTACGTCCGGGGCAGGGGTTTGTTTAGGCCAATATTAAATATTTTGAGAATTGTGTTATAATCACTCGCTAATAGCTTCGCACAGTATCGAGGTCACATCCCCCCCGCGCCGACATTCCTTTCGGGCCGGTCGACTGGACACGTCTTGGCGTTGAGTGTAAAATTTTTGCGTTTTTTGTAACTTACTTAATTTTTTGTCACGTCACGAACGGAGTCGAGCTAGTACCTCTGTCGTCGGCGGAACCACGTGTTGTTCTTTACGGATTTATTTACTTCGTTTAAAGTAATTGTGCAAATTATATAGTGATTTCGTTTGAAGTTCTTTTTTTGATTGTACCATTACGTGAATAGACTGAGCTAGTGCTTTCAAGAAGGGAATTGTTCCGGGGGCTCCACAGGAGAATACCTCCTCCAGGATAGCATCGTGTCATCTAGCCCAGGCCACCTACACCCAGACACACACAAATACCACCTACACTCACTACACTTTCATCAGCCGGGCAGATCCTGGTGAACAGTCTCCGCTCCCGAAGCGAGTAAGTACCTTCCCGTTAACTAGCCTTCCCCTTTATTGTGATAGGATATTTCCACGTGGTCACTTTGGAGGCCCGACCTGCGTCTGCCCGTAGAATTCCTGTTTGGGCCCCGGGATAGCCTACTTTTGCAGGGGCAGCCGTAGGCCGTAACAGTCAGTACTATTAGTGACGGTTGGACGACGAAATAAAAACGACAACCAGACATGTATGCTTTAATAGCTTCTTTTGTTTTTTTTTCATGTTTTGCCCATTAATACAACATTTTAAAATATATCGAAATTTATACGAACTATCGAGTCTAAAATAAATATCGATATATTGCTATTAAAAATATCGACGATATATATATATATATATATATATATATATATATATATATATTGATATTTCGATATATCGATATTTTTTTCCCAAGCTAAGCATGGGCGTTTTCAGATTTTGGCTGCAACGGTTACATAACTGATATTTAGTTTTCATATCGTTATTGAAAACCGTTTTCAAATATCGATATCAGTGGTTTACAACCGAAACATAACCTAAAATCAGGGGTATGAAAGTCCTCAGTAGCTTGCTTTACGTTGATACTAGTGCCATCTCACAGTAAAAGTACTATTTTTCCCGATATTTTTACATAATCTATTAAAAGATGGCGCCACTGTGGATATTTATTATTTATACCGAAGCTTAAATCATGCTAGCAAAGTTTTGAAATACGCCGGAATATTTAATAAAATTATTCGATATATATATATATATAGAATAAGTCTTTGTAACTTAAGTAAGCAATTTACACCATGGTTTTCTTAAACAAGCATAGTAAATATTTACTTAAAACAAATTAGTTAATATTTAAATTTAATTGATTTCCTTTTAATTTTATTGAAATATGTACAAAATAATACTGAACCTAGATGATAGCGCCCTCTAGTATAATTTTCAGTAATTTATAATCCCTTCGCCATCTATAAAAGCGCAGAAGAAACTTTCCTCGTTTCGTCACTTAATTATTTTTCAGTGGCTCATCTATGCCTGAAAACTGTAGAATGAGTGCAACATTTATTTTACGAATTACTTCGATTATTTTAGTTTAGAAGTCAGAGTCTCTAATATAATCTTAGATGTAATATTTAGACATGTATGTTAATATGTAATTTATGATTGTTATGCAGTATGTTTATACCCATATTTTTTTAAAGTGAGACGTAGGATCAGAGTTTGATTTCGAAGTCTATAATTAAAATGTATTCATAAGTAGTAAACATAATTTATATATATATATATATATATATATATATATATATTTAGAAAATTATTATAGGTAAATAGTTTATTTATTAGATATTATTATATTAATAATCATTGTTTTTTATAATGATTATTTAAGTTGGCGATTTACCTTCATATACTTAACTAGGCTTAGGACTGACAGGAAAGTTTTAAAACCAATGTACAAAATGCAAACAAATATTACAAATAAATGTACAAACGCAACGTCAAAAAGATAGTTTCATAGTGCACACGCCACAAAGTCAAGTGCGTAATTGTTACGTTTGAAAAAAAAATCAAATTCTAACTTTCACATAAACAAAAGTTGCCTAAACGAAATATAATGTGATGAAACAAATCTAAGTCTAGTGCCGAATGTCCTAAAGATCATTTAAATCTGACAACTCTCACAATTACACAAACTTAAAAAATTAGGCAGTTTTAACCATTTAAAAATTCGACCTTATTGTCAAGAAACTTATAATTATATTTCAGTACGTGCACCGTTTTATGATAACAACCAAAACATCGCAACGAAATCCATATTCGCTTCATCTCTTTCATACGTATTTATGATACTGTCGCTAGAACGAGAAACAACGAATATCAAAGGACATCGGTTAGTTTTGGTTTTGGGCCGTTTTCGGTTTTGGCATATCGTTACAGTTTGCGTTTTACGTTTCGTACGTTGGTTAGTTGATTTTGGGTTTTGGTTGGATATGTGATAACGGTTATGTTCTTAGGTTTATCGATATGATATGATATTTGACAACATAACGTTATTAGTTACGTTTTGATATATCGATCTCATGCCTAGCCCAAGCCTATCACTGTGTTTTTGTCATACAGTAGAGTAATATATAGGGATATGGTTTTTGTGATTTTAAGATAATTTGTCTTCAGAGAGTATTACTAGTAATGTTCCTAGATTTAATAAATACTATAACGACTTTTAAGTATACTCTTTAGAAAGTACATAGTACGTACAGTACATTTTTATAAATTGAAAGTTTAATCCTTGAATAATTCAGTGGCTTAATTAGAAGGTTAATCATTTTTATTTATATAAATTACTATAATAGTTAGGATGTCACTAATTGAACCTGAGTTTTTTAATTTCCTGAGAAAATTGGAAGAAAATGGTGATAAGCTCACAGTTGGTACTCCTCTAGAAGAACCTCTTGAGTTTGAATACAACGTAAGGCTGTTCACAAATCATTTTAAAATTTACAAATGGATGGAAGTTTTATTGCTTCAATTTGTTTCAGAATACAAGTTGCTATGTGTGTAATGGTTATTATGGACCTAGCTTTGGAGAACCTGTTTGTGTCACTTGCCACGCTTTTCTTTTCCCGGACTTTCCATCATATTTGCCAAGTTCCTACTTCTGCAGTGAAAAGACAGACGATGGTGACTCTGGAAATGATGAACCATCTGATTTAAATTATAGCTCTGAGCGCAGATTGAACAAAGTGTGTGCACTCCCTGCTTGGTGTTACAGAGTAAGTTGTCAGTTCATAATCAGTAGTAATATGGGAAAAAACTTGGAATCATTAATACTTTAGTATAAATTCTGTACTCTTTTTTTTTTTTTTTATAGGATAAGGGTGACAAACGAGCACACAGTCCACCTGATGGTAAGTGGTTGCTGTGGCCCATAGACATCTACATCTATCTTCGATTACGAATCAAAATACAGATGCTTTGTCACCCGTGAGGACTAAGATGGAATGCCTCATTTCCAGTAAAACGGGTCTCCGGTTCTCTACACTCACCATACGAAACACAGCAGTGTTAAGCTGCTATTTTACGCTGGTATTCTGTGAGAGCGTGGTCCTTCCCCGGTCGAGCCGACCCATTCGTGCTACAACCATAATATAGCTGCAGCATGACTCTACCACGTATACTATATATATACGTATACTACCACTCTGTTAAGGACTATTATAATTTTATCCTTCAAAAGATTTAATAAGTCATATTATTTAGTTTTGTTTAATATTTTTTATGGTGCAATATGTTGTGTTAATTTTTAATTTTAGAGCTGTAGTGGTGCCTGGTTATGTTCAACTCTACAATGCATTCAATTTGAAATGAAACGTTTAGATGGTTAGATAATTGCTACAATTAATTTTCTTACATATTGTGTAATTTATTGTTTACATATATATGCCAATAAAAAGTACTTCATTGCTTCTTTTTTACTTAGTAGAGCCATACTGCAGCTATATTATGGTTGTAGCATGAATGGGTCGGTTCGACCAGGGTGGGACCACACTCTCACACATTACCAGCATAAAATAGCTGCTTAATGCGGCTGTGTTTCGTATGGTGAGTGTAGAGAACCGGAGATCCTTTTTACTGGAAACGAGGCACTCCATCTTAGTCCTCAGGGGTGACAATGCATCTGCATTTTGATTCTTAATCATGGATAAATGTAGATGTCTATGGGCCACAGCATTGCCTTACCATCAGGTGGACTGTGTGCTCGTTTGTCACCCTTATTCTATAAAAAAAATCTTTTATAATTACTTAGGTATTGTTTGTAAATGCTTAACTGTTCACTGAAAATTCTAAATTCTAAAAACCTTTATACATACATACATACATAGAATCATGCCTCTTTCCCGTAGGGGTAGGCAGAGACCACTTCTTTCGACTTGCTACGATCCTTACATACTTGTTTCGCTTCGTCCACTTTCATTATTCCCTTCAAACATGCTCTACGGTTTAGGGTACTCTTGACCTGGCCTTTTTTCAAGACGTCCCTGATTTGGTCTAGAAATGTCAGCCTAGGTCTACCCCTTCCAACGTTCATTCACACTCGCCTTATACACTTTTTTCGTCAATCGTTCTTCATTCATTCTCTCAACGTGGCCAAACCATCTCAGCATACCTTTCTCAATTTTAGTCACATCTTCCCGCAGACCACAACATTTCCTTATCTCACTATTTCTTATCCTGTCATTCAGTTTAACTCCTATCATACTTCTTAATGCTCTCATCTGAACTGCATTTATTCTGCTTTCATGTTTCTTCTGCCATACCCAACTTTCACTTCCGTACATGAGTGTCGGAACCAACACCCCCTCATGCACAGCCAAACGAGCCTTGTTAGACACCTTCTGACTGCTCATAAAGGAGTGCAAAGCTCCATTCACCATGTTTCCTGCATTCACTCTTCTTTCGATATCACTCTCACACTTTCCATCTCTTGTAAACTTTGAACCCAGATACACAAACTCTTTCACCTGTTCAATTTGTTCATCTTCAATCACGATATTGCAGTCTGTCACTGCCTCATCTTTTTCAAACACCAGCACTTTCGTCTTCCTTACATTCATCTTCATTCCCTTTCTAACAAAAGCTCCACTCATAGCAGTTACCATTTCCTGCAACTCCTCGGCCGAAGACGCAAGTAATACTTGGTCATCAGCATAGAGAAAACATTTGACGAGTAACTCATTCATTCTCAACCCACTTTCATTCTCTATTAAATCTGTCAAACAATTGTCCATGAACAGTTTAAACAGCCACGGTGACGCTACACATCCCTGTCTAACACCTTTTTTGATATTAAACCATTCAGTGTATGCCCTGTTTATCCTTACACAAGCACTAGAATCCCTATAAACAGATTGCAATGCCCGTATGAGGATACTGCTCACACCGTTCACGGACAGTGCTGACCACAATTCATTCCTCACCACTCTATCATAGGCCTTTTCTAGATCTACGAACGCGCAGTAGACTTTCTTGTTTTTAGCCAAACACTTTTCGGCTATGCACCGCAAGGAAAAGACCTGATCCGTACATCCCATTCCCTTTCTAAATCCCGCTTGTGCGTCCCATACTTTCTCGTCTGTTTCATTCACAACCCTTTCAATCAACACTTTCGCATACAGTTTACCGACGACGCTGAGAAGGCTTATACCGCGGTAATTTATGCAGTCCTGCCGTGACCCTTTTCCCTTATACAATGGCACGATTACGGCTTTGCACCAGTCTCCCGGTACTTGCCCATTTCGCCAGCACAGATTGAAAAGGCGGTACAGCTGACTAGCCACCAGGCCCCGTCCAGTCCTCAGCATCTCGACGGTAATCCTGTCATACCCTGCAACCTTACCTAATCTCATACTTTTCAACGCTTTCACTATTTCATCCATGCTTATCTCATTTTCATCAACATTTATATTAGTTTCCATGGAAAGTGGCAGATGCTGTACCTGCACTTCCTCTCTTTCAAACAAACTTTCAAAATACTCTTTCCATCTCTTTAACACACATTCTTCTCCTTTTATATTGCTCCTATCTTGACTCCTGATTGTACTCAGCTCCGAGGTAGAAGTTTTTCCTCTGGCTGTTTTGATGGTTTTCCAGAAAAACTTAATGTTTGACTTGAAATCTTCAGTGAGTGTCCTATCGAAATCATCCTTTCGTTCTTCTTTCTTTCTAGACACAATTTCTTTCACTGCTGTTTTCAATCTTTTATACTTCGTTCTTGCTTCCTTTATCTCGTCATCCATTGCCTTTTGAACTTTTTGATTAGCTTTAGTTGCTAACCAATTCAACCACGTTTTCTTCTTTTCTTGCACAATCCTTTGTACATCTTTATCCATCCACACGTTATCATTCTTTCTTCCTTTCCTTCTTTTAGCTACCCCGCATACCTCAATAGCAACATTTACGACCCCTTTCTTAAATGTCTCCCACAAATCTTCAATCACTCCTATCTCTTCTATCCCTTTAAAACTTTCTTTCAGCATCTCTACATACTCGTCTTTCTTTTCTTTTTCTTGTAGATTTTCCACTTTTACTCTGTCCAAAACACTCGTAGGCTCGGCCCCTCGGTGTCGCCACCGTTTAAAGAGGCCACGCATTCGGGCTATGACCAGAAAGTGGTCTGAGTCGAAGCCTACACCGCGGTATGTCCGAGTGTCTAGCACTTTCTTCCTCAGTCTTTCATCCACAATTACAAAATCAATCATACTTCTAGATTCACCCTCATCTCTTGTATACAAATGGATCTTTTTGTGGTCAAACATTGTGTTGGCCACGCACAGATTCCATTCCAAGCATACTTCAAGCAGGCTTCTCCCATTGTCATTCACTCTCTCGTCCCCAAACGTACCCAGAACTCCTTCATACCCATCACGCTTTACTCCAACTCATCCATTAAAGTCCCCTAACATCATGATCCGTTCATTTTCTCCGCATTTATTCAAGACCTCTCTCATGCTATCCCAAAATTCCTCTCTCTCTTGTTGTGATTTTAATGACCCACCTCCATGCAAATCCGTCGGTGCATAGACCCCAAGGATAAACAAGCGAGTGAGTCCGACTTTTAACCTAATCCAGAGGAGTCTTGGGCTTACACATTCATGCTCCATCACACATTCAACCATTCGAGATGAAAGAATCACACCAACTCCCTGACAGCCTCGGCTGGTTTGGGGGACTCCCGACCAGTATGCCGTGTAGGGGCCATGAACCGTGGTGTCACATCCTTTCCTCTTGGTTTCGTTCACGCACAGAATATCAATGCAACGTTCATCCATCATCTGACATACTTCATCTACCTTACCATCCATTCCTCCTCTTACATTCAACGTAGCGAAGCGGCTCTCCGTGGGCCGCTTTTCGCCCCCGCGAGAAACGAGACGTGATGGGTGGCGAACCACATCGCCGCCATTTTGGTTAATTAAATTATTTTTATGATTATCTATTGCGTTCCCACAAATAGCGAGGGAAAGGTTTATCCCCCATGCATGCCAGGGCAAGGCGAGCCTAATTCTGGGGTCGCCCGGTCCCAGGGCAGTGTGGCACGCTAATGACTAGGCTCGCTCCTAGCCATGCATCCATCCGCGCGGCAGACGTTGGATTGGCGGAGGGTAGGAATAGGAAAAGGGGAAGGATAGGTGGTGTGAAAAGGAATAGTAAGGTAAATTAGGGTAGGAAATAGGAAATGTAGGATATTACCGTCCAGGAGGGCAAGGGATAGGACAGTAATAGCTAGGGAAGCTGGGGTCGCATACCCGTATACCATACCACAACTACCGGACAGGTAAATTAGGATGAGTATCCCTCGACTCTTAAAAAGCTTTATTGCAACAAAATACAATTTATACATATTTATGTGGCCCTAGCTCCTGTAAAAGGTTAACCTGAGTAACAGGAGCTAAACACTATAAATGAACTAAAAGTTGTTAACACTAGCAAGATAGGAAAAACAGCTAATCTACAAAGGGTGGTCAAGGGTCATTTGACCCTATAACTGTTACCTAGTCTCTAATTATGTATATATGTGTAGTGTAATTATAGAAATAGTAGATAATATTCATTGTTACAAAGGCAAATGAAATATTTTTGGTTTCCAGTATAAATATAGGTTTAATAAAAATGTTATTTACAGTTATGACATAAGAATATTTTTGATATATTGCATCTACCACATAGTGGTTTCTTGCACAAGTCACACACTTTATTAGTTTTATTTTTACAATAAACTTGTTAGCCTTTATTACGCCTATTCCTCGACTCAGTTGCTGGCATTTCTGAGGCGATACAATGTTGCAGTGAGGTTTCACGATTGGGTTCTTCTAAAATGTTACTCAGTTCAACCACCAATTACAGAATAAATTCTCTTCTTCTTATTTTCTTGTTGTTTATTTCTTGGTCACCTTGGCATTTATTGCAGATAAATCTAAAATATTATAAAATACTTGTACTGGCCATCTTCTAGAAGGTGCTTTTGTGCTGTATCTTCTCGCCTTTTGATCGACCGCGTCAACACCATATTTAGTGGAATTGTAAAGCATAATAGTTTCAGGTTTTTTCTTGACATCGCCACTGTGTATATGAACACTATCATGTAATGTGCTCAATTGAAATGACGAGGTGCCATGCGCCCTGTCCTCCGCGACACTGTCGGGGCCGCACCGTTGATGCGGTGGTGATGGGGCGCGTGGGAAGTGGGATGTGGTCCCGAGAAATATTGTCAAGGCCCTGTAAAAAGCCAGTACTGTTGTTCGCACATCAATTAATGTTACTGGTTTGCAACATATTAATACACTTGTATTCGAAGCATTCACCATCTACTATGACCTTGACGTTTCGATCTATTTTATATTCTATTCTTTATGATCTTATCACCCAATCTATTTAATAAAAGAAGAATCATCAATATCATTTCATAATCAAGGAAAATGATATCACATGTAATATTTTATTTTTTCCATACAAAACAGTGATTTCATTGGCAAAAACCTGAGATTTTATGATGATCACTATTACTATTTCGAACAGAATTCCTTGGATAGTGAGACAAGCCCAGAAGATGAAACAAGCTGCACAAGCACATCAGGACCAGGGGTAAGCGGGAGCATCAGTGGTGGATCGGGACCTTCGCTAGCTCCTCGTGATGCAGTTGAAGATTTAGCAGGACAGGGACCACCCCCGCAACCGCCTAGCTTGGCTCGCAGCTTGCAAGCCTTATCTACTCCAAGACCACCAGATAATTTAGCCCCAGGTTTAGTGGAACATTTACCATCCGAAGGTAATTTAATACTATACATTTGCTTTATGAAACATTCATTTAACAAAAATTAATGTTTAAAAAAATTCTTTAAGAGATATCTTTAGCAGACATAATAATTAATTCTTCTATACACTATGTCTTAGCAGTTCAAAGTAGTTATAAATTTTTTTTTTATCTGTAATTTATTTACCCAGTAGAACCACACTGTTTAACATATAGCTGCAGCACAAATGGATTGGTTTCACTGGAGAAGTTCATTGTGTGCACTTCACCGAGTAGAGGTGGAGTAAGGATATCCAAACCTAAAATATTGTATTAATTTTTTTTTTTTAGGAACATGATTCTTTCGAAATCTTTATAATGCTCTACACCTATAATCTTTAAGATGCTGTATAAACGACATTCTCTATATATGGGGTGTAAAGGGCGATTTGCCAATATATTTATGCATTATAAGTCATTGCTTATGCTAAGTGCGAGTTGGACTCGCATTGAAGAGATCTGTACCATCGTAAAACACGTTTCTAGTAGGGGAGCCTCTTTACTTTTTAATTAATTTTTATTATTTGTTTTTATAGAGGCAACAGAAATACACAATCTGTGAAAATTTCAACTGTCTACCTATTACGGATCATGAGATACAGCCCGCTGACAGACAGATGGGACGGACAGCAGAGGCTTAGTAATAAATAGGGTCCCGTTGGTTAATCTTTGGGTACTGAACCCTCAAAAGGACGAAGATCCGTCGAGCTTTGGTCGCCCACTCCTTACCCGTTTCTACCACCAAGCAGTGCTGGCACTGTTTTGTTCCGGTCTAAAGGGAATAGCCAGCCAGTACAATTACAAGATGTGAGGCATTCCGTTTTAAGATCTAAGGACTTTTATTTTATTTTTTTTAGTTAAAAAAACGTTACCCCCACTAGGATTTTCTCCTGTATCGTGGAGGCAGTTTACAAACACAAATTGCACAAGGACAAACATCCAGACCCGGAACAATTATTTGTAGGCCATACAAATACTTGTTCCGTGCGGGATTCAAACCCGCGCCCCCCAGCGCAGCAACTCATTGCTAAGCTACTGCGCCACGGAGCCGTCAATCCTCAGAGATGACAATTGCATCTGTAGCTTTTTTTTGAAGGTGGTTGCAGGTGTGCATGGGTTGGAGTAGCCACTTACTGACAGGTAGACTAAGTTCGTTTGCACTTCAGTTTTAATAAAAAAGGGGATGTATTTATTCTATATCCTATAAAATATCTTCTTATAATATATTCTATTTAATAAAAAAGAATCATCTCAATCGTTTCATAACTGACAGAAATATCGCGTCACATATATATAATACAAAAAAATACAGTCAAATTAATTGACTTCGACTACATACCATGACGATGTTCTAATTTTTTTTTAAATTGAAGTCGGTTGTACAAAACTTTTAATTTTACCACTTGTTATTAGTGTTATTTTCTACCGAATCCAAAAAGGAGGAGGTACGCAAATCGACTGTTGTTGAATGTTTTCTTATGTGTGTTACCTCATAACTTTTTGCTGGGTGAAGTGATTTCGATGATTCTTTTTTTTTATTTGAAAGCTGGTGCTTCACATGTGGCCCCATATAAATTTATAATGATTAAGGTCTGACCAATAGTTTTTGAGTTATTCTTAATAATTTATATTGAAGTCAGTTAAACAAAATTTTTATTTTAAATTATTTAATCTGAGTTCTGGTGGTGATGGTGAAATAAAAATAATGTCGGTCCCCTCATGAGCCAGAACCAGATATTTTATATTATTATTGTTATTACTGTATGTGTGTGTGTGTGCAGTGCTGCTGTGCATCTTCAGCTACCTGGACGACCTGTCGCTGTGCGCGTGCGCGTGCGTGTGCGCGCGCTGGTGGCGCCTGGTGCGCGCGCGCGTGCCGCCGCCGCGCTGGGCCTGCTTCGCCGCGCGCCGCTGGCCGCTGTTCCGTCCGCTGCTGCCGCACGTCGACTGGCACAAGGTACAATGTGCCGCCGCGCTGGGCCTGCTTCGCCGCGCGCCGCTGGCCGCTGTTCCGTCCGCTGCTGCCGCACGTCGACTGGCACAAGGTACAATGTGCCGCCGCGCTGGGCCTGCTTCGCCGCGCGCCGCTGGCCGCTGTTCCGTCCGCTGCTGCCGCACGTCGACTGGCACAAGGTACAATGTGCCGCCGCGCTGGGCCTGCTTCGCCGCGCGCCGCTGGCCGCTGTTCCGTCCGCTGCTGCCGCACGTCGACTGGCACAAGGTACAATGTGCCGCCGCGCTGGGCCTGCTTCGCCGCGCGCCGCTGGCCGCTGTTCCGTCCGCTGCTGCCGCACGTCGACTGGCACAAGGTACAATGTGCCGCCGCGCTGGGCCTGCTTCGCCGCGCGCCGCTGGCCGCTGTTCCGTCCGCTGCTGCCGCACGTCGACTGGCACAAGGTACAATGTGCCGCCGCGCTGGGCCTGCTTCGCCGCGCGCCGCTGGCCGCTGTTCCGTCCGCTGCTGCCGCACGTCGACTGGCACAAGGTACAATGTGCCGCCGCGCTGGGCCTGCTTCGCCGCGCGCCGCTGGCCGCTGTTCCGTCCGCTGCTGCCGCACGTCGACTGGCATGAGATACACTTCGAAATGCTGTTCAAAATTATTTATATACGTCCACTCGGTCGTGAAACGATCACGCGTAGAATACCAGCGTGAAATAGTAGCATCATGCTTCTGCCTCGTATGGTGAGTGGCAAAAACTCACAGATTACCCCCTAATAGATACCGCATCATTGAATATTTGTTCTGTTTCGAGTTCACCAAATTTGGCCCTATGCAAGGGTTGCGGGGGACGTGGCAAATGCGCTGTGATTGGATATTTAAAGGTCAAACTTAGAATGTACCAAACCATAGTGATGGAACAGGGTTGGAACGTTGATCGATAAATTTGGGATTTATTGATTATTGATAATGATAAATAAATATATTGATCAATTTTTATTTGATGTTTATTAAAAAATTAAACATTGTATACATATATTTGTACATTTAATTTATAAATATATATTTGACTGATTTTTAAAATGGATAATCTTAGTATAAAATTGTCACAGGATTCTTAGAATCTGTCTTCCTGGATGAGTAGAGTAATCTTACGAGTATGTCGATGTATTTTTCCATAACACTCTTAGCTAAATCAATGATATGATTACAACTTTCGTGATCGAATTGGTGATTTTTTTTATTTCATGAAAAATATCCTCATTAACAAAACTGCTTATTTATTTGTTTAATTATGCTTATTTATTTATATTTTTTATTATTATATATATATATATATATATATATATATATATATATATATATATATATATATATATATATATATTATTTTATTATTATTATTATTTATAATTAAGCTTAATTGATTGTGTTAAAACTACAAACTTTCCTAGTGTTTTTACAGAAGGTAAAGAAGTATTAAATGTTTTGTGTACATAATTATAAGCCTAGCTGAGTAATTTATGGTGAGTGCAAAAGCTCTCAACTGTGGTGAATATTTTTTTCCAACAATTTTGCCTGATTTTCTAGATTTTGATTTTTCTAAGGAACTTAATGCGTCATTGTTTTCCGCTGCTAATGAATTTTTGTTTTCTAATTCTGCCAATAATGACTTCAAAGAAACTATTTGTGTTTTTAGTCTTCTGTTGGAATCACTTAACTTTTTAACTTTTTTATCTTTTTTGTTTATTACGTTGGTTAATTCGATGATTCTTCTACAAAGACGTTTTTAACTGGAGTATTAAATGCAGATGGCGTATCAGGTATAGGAGAAAATTTTCTTTTTTGTTTTGTAGGCGTTTCTAAGCAATGACTCTGATTTTTAGGTGTTGGCGGGTTTTTCGCGTCTTTCAGCGGTGAACCAGTAATCTAAATCTGAAATACATCTTCGTTTCTTTTAAAACATTACCGATATAGTATTATTAATTAATACACCATACGGCACGTCTTCCAAATTTAGATGTACTTAATAATTATAATAAGATAATACTGAAGTTCATGTAACACTAAATACCAAGTTAAAACAATAATCACATTATAACTTTTACAAGTTTTATGATTTATAAATCCGTTAAAAATAGCTTGATTTCGACGTGTAACATTTACCTAAATATAAGAATATCATATTTCACTCAACCACTTAATGATATTATTGTGTAATCTACGTTAGTACTACTCTTTAAAAAAAATGCAAAAGTCCATACCAAAACTGGCAAGAATCCAACAGCTTTATATGGTTTTTCATAATATTATGAAGATTGTCTTCTGTGAAGTGTTTTGAGCATAGTACACTATTTTTGGTTGGAAACCATTCGTCCCCTCGACAATTTGCGTCGATCCACATCTTTTTTCCTTTCGGGGCATTTAGGAAACCTATAACATATAGGTACCACAATGATACGTCACTATTTTTATAAAATAATATGACTTCGAAAAAAGTAATTAAACGATGACCAAACAAATATCGACTTAAAAATCACAACACTATCGATACACGTGCTGTTGTTAGACAAAGACAACTATTGTAATTTACTTAACGAGTGAAAGGGACATTTCAAAAAGACATCAACGGGTGCTTAATTGTTATCACTTTGCACCATTAAAATACCAATATAAGTTGATCTCCGGTGCATTTGAAATAGGTTAACGTGATAAGAAAAGAATTTACTTACCAATTAAAATTTATGCCATCTTTTTGATAACTGGATGTCTTAGCTGACTTGTCACACCATTTTACTGCACAGGAAGCCATTTGCAATGTATTTTGGATACAAAACTATTTTTAAATTGTCAAGAACTCGGACGTGCCTACGGATCACAAACTTGGTCGTTACTGATGTCGTGATTCTTAGTTTCACTTCGTATGCTAGCTACAGCAAGTACCTATGTGTTGCGCGCGTTTGTGGCCCTGTATGCGGAATCTATTAGGGGGTAATCTATGCAAAAACTGAAGACCTTTTTACCCCATTTTTACTAACTCTTTTTGGGTACAAATTTTGCAATTGATTTTAAATTAACTTCCTGATGAGTTTGAGACTAGAATCTCTAAAAATAACTCAAATCTGGATGACAATGTTATATAAAATCACTGCCTTATCTGCTCGTTTGTTTGTTCGGTACAAATATTTCAATCGATCTTAGACTAGTTTCCCGATGAGCTAGAGACTTGAAACTTCAGAACTCAAAGCTGGAAACGTGGTTATTACTCGTAACGGGGGATTCTATTCGAGTTCTCTTGAGTGATATACGATATATTATATATGGCATTATTTAGTGATCAAGATGACGGGGATTTAATAAAATTACTTAATATAGGTTTTTAATAATAATAAACACCCGTGAGGACTAAGATGGAATGCCTCTTTGCCAGTAAAAGGGGTCTCCGGTTCTCTACACTCACCATACGAAACACAGCAGCGTTAAGCTGCTTTTTTACGCTGGTTTTCTGTGAGAGCGTGGTCCTTCCCCGGTCGAGCCGACCCAATCGTGCTACAACTATACTACTAATATAGCTGCAGCATGGCTTTACCCCGTAAAATGCCACATAAACCATATTAGGTATCTTTCGTAGATCTACTGTAACAGCTTTCGTAGATCTACTATAACAGCGTTCGAAAGTAAACTGTGATCTTCAGTAATTACGTTGTTACTGCTTATAAGTCGTTTTCTAACTTCTTATACTGTTGGTTACTGCTCATGAAAGTATACAGACAGCATCCGAAATTCCGAATAAATACTGTTCATAGAAATCATAATAAGTACAGATACCGAAGTACCATAGTAAAAATTTCCGAAATTACACTGTTAAAATTTCTAAATTACAGTTATAGCTTCCAAAAGTATAATATTATTGCTTTTGCAGTTGTGATATGCACTTTTATGTTTCTTTTACAGAAATACCAGGCGCTTGTGGAATCGTGCTTCTGTCGTAACTGCTTGGTGCAGATGTGCGTACAAGCGCAACCCGTCGGTGAAGAAAACGCTTGGCGCAGAAATAGACTGCGGATTGAATTGAAGGTGAATTTCATGCTTCTACAAAAAGAGATCCTTATGAAAGTTTTTAACGACATTCATCAGCCAGAGTTTCCAGCTTGAGGGCTTATTCTCTAATTTAGGCGGTAAATAAGAGGAATGGAATTTTTAGGGGTTTCATATTTTTAGTGATATTTTTAGGGACTTATGTATTTTTTTCCAATTAAGCAGATTTTTTTGTTTAGAAGTTTACGTTGATTGCGGCGCAGTTGGCTGTAAACTTTTTGAGAATGTCTCAAAATTCGGGCTGTATGTTTTTTACAATAGTTGTCACGGTCGCAAGTTCTTGTTATCTATTGAAATGCTAGAGAGTGTGATGTTAATTCACATTGCAACGAAATGGCGTATCTTTTATAACATTTAAACATTAACTAAAATGTTATGTTTATTATAATATATATATATTATAATATCCAATGTATGATTTTAATAAGTCAGAACCATCAGAAGAAAACTAAATAATGTTTGAAATATTAAATAATTTATATACATATAAAATAATTACAAAGCATTATTGTACTTATATTTTAGGGGTGTTTCAAGTAACAAGTGATTTTGGAGGTTTTTTAAGTTAACATTTAGTGGTAAATATTTTTTGGAGTTGGCAACACTGTCATAAGCTCGTGAAAATCCATTGACGAACTTATACCCCACCCGTTAGAGGAAAAAAATTCAATACATAAAATTGGTAGATTTATTAATAAATTTTAATACGTAGTGACGGTAACTATGTAGTAGCGGCGTTAGGCAACTACCCGTATCATACCGTGGGTGTCGTAAAAGGAGACATAGGGAAGCTGAACCAGTAGATAGGCAGCAGTATCGTTCTGATAGTAGCTGACTAAAAATAAAAAGCCGCGGTTCCTAAACCTCTCCGAGCTTCGAGTTCCTAATCTCTACGAGGCAATCTATGATGTTAAGCCCTTGCATAAATCAATTATTCAAAATTTAAGTTCAGATCACTGTGGACAGTTGGTATCATTGCCTTACTTACATACACAGAAAACAGAAAAATAAGAAAGTTGTGTTTGTTCCAATAAATCAACATTGCTTTGAGAAGTTTAGAAGTAATATAATAAAAAGACTTCCATCACTTTCATTTAAAAACAGTGCTAATTATTTGTATGGTACGTTATTTAAAATTATAAGTTGTGAATTTAGTAGGATATTTACTTCTAAAACTTTCTCTTTTAACAGTCACAAATCATTTAATGAATGGGCGACAGTAGGAATTTATAAAAGTAGGCGAAAGTTATACGAGCTTTATAATGAAAGATCGTATAATAGTAGGGTTATATTTAGAGATTATGTAAAAACATATTCTAAAATATTTAAAAAAGTGTGTGCCACAGCTAAGGCACATTTAAGTAACAAAATTAAAACTGCATCTAACAAAATTAAAATAACCTGGAGAATAATAAATAGTGAAACGGGCAAGGTAAAACCGCGAAACTCGGATTTTAAATTGAATATTAACAATAATTTAACTCGATTTGATCAAGAAGTTGCAAATTGCTACATAGAAATCAATTCGGTTTTACAAGGGGGTCGCTTAACAACTGACGCTGGAGTTGAGCTTATTAAACATATTTTTTGTGCATGGGAGAATTCAGAGGATGCTTTGGGTATATTTTGTGACCTTTCCAAGGCCTTCGACTGCGTTCACCATGAGACATTAATCAGGAAGCTACAGTACTATGCTGTCAAGAACACAGCGCTTAAACTTATTATTTCATATTTAAGTAATAGAATGCAGAAAGTTATTATCAATGGTAAAAGTTCTTCCGGCTCACCTGTACTAATGGGTGTCCCTCAGGGCTCGATTCTCGGCCCATTCCTATTTCTAGTGTATATTAATGACTTACCTTCTCTTGTAGAGGATAATCATGATATAGTATTATTTGCTGATGATACTTCGTTGATTTTTAAACTTAAACGTCAATCATTTAAATGTGACGAAGTGAATAATGCTATATCAAAATTAGTGCATTGGTTTAACGTTAATAATCTACATTTAAACGGGAATAAAACTAAATGTATTAAATTTACAACAACGAATGTTAAAAATCTGAGTACCAATGTGTTTTTAAATGGGGAAGAACTGAGCCCTGTTGAATCCACTGTTTTTCTTGGCATCACTCTCGACGCAAAGCTTCAGTAGGGCCCTCATATATCCAAACTAGCAAGAAGACTAAGTTCTTCAGCCTATGCTGTAAAAAAGATTAGAGGTCTCACTAGTGTCGAGACAGCTAGATTAGTTTATTGCAGTTATTTCCATAGCATAATGTCTTATGGGATTTTGCTATGGGGAAATGCGGCTGTTTCAGAAACTATTTTTGTTTTACAGAAGAAGGCCATTAGAGCTATTTACAACCTAAAACCGAGAGAGTCTCTTAGAGATAAATTTAAAGAAATAAATATATTAACTTGGGCCTCTCAGTATATTTACGAAAATTTAATGTATGTTTACAAAAACAAAGGTAGTTTTAGTAAAAAAAGTTATATACATTCTGTAAACACTAGGAACAAACACAAGCTAGTGATACCAGTTTCTCGACTCCACAGAGTCAGTAATTCATTCTTGGGGCAATGTATACGCTATTACAACAAGGTCCCGGAAAGTGTACAGGCACTCTCTATTAGCAAGTTTAAATGTTTTGTTAAGTTGAAACTGTATAAAAAGGGTTATCTATACTAATATAATAAAGCGGAAGAGTTTTTTTGTTTGTTTAAACGCGCTAATCTCTGGAACTACCAGTCCGATTTGAAAAATTATTTTGTATATTATAGCCAGATTTATGTGAAATAGTATAAGCTATATAGCATTAAGCTATATTACTCAGCTAGCTTTAAATATGGATATTTGTTAAGCAAGTCAGAAAAAAAAGCACTCCCGAAATGATTTATCCGCGTACGCTGGTGTTATCGTTAGGGATACGTAAATACAATATTCTAGAAAAATATAGACCTTTACTCCATCTAAAAAAGGTCCGCGATACCATATGTCTATTTCTTATACATAAGCCATAATTTGGTATTTTGAGGCAAAAAAATATTGAAAATTTAAAAGTGATTTATGGGCGTTATTATTAGGCATAGCCTATTTATCCTTACGAACGAAAGTTACTTCATCATCAAGACAATTTTATGAAGATAAACTTTGTTCTTTATACCATGTTATTTGGACGCATAGTTTAAGAGATAATGTAAAATTAAAATAATTCAATACTTGGCTGCGCGCGTGAACGACGCTTAAACCCTAGCCGTTATAAAATGCTTGAACTATGTCATGTCGCGCACCTCGGACACATGATGACGCGGGTGAAACCGCGGGGCACAGCTAGTTATAGTATAAATGAATACATGGTTGATAATAACCCCTGGGAATGAGGTGATCGCTTCCTAGTTGTTTCTAAAATAAATTTTGTACTTATATAGTTTGTACAAGCATTAATGTAAAATTTGCTTTAAAAAAAAGTCCCGCTAGGTTTCTTGCTGGTTCTTCCCAGGACAGAGGTTTTTTTCGAACCAGTGGTAAAGTAAAAAATGACTTTCAATAAGAATTACAAATGTGATCTATATTCAATAAAAAATTATTCTATTCTATTGTATTCTATGGGGGATGCGTATGTTCGGCGGTGGACTTTTTATAGGCTGTAAATGTAGGTATGACATACCCCTTTGTAATGATGATTAATTAAGATTTTTTACTATATTAACATTGTTATTTAAAGTAGGTATTACAGTGACTCTAACGTAACTGTTCGGCACGTTTCCATCAGAGAGAGTTGTTTCTCTTGTCTTTGTCTCTGTTTTCTCACTCACAAGTACTCACAAGTACCTATCTCGATTTCACCACGCCCAGTATTAAGTTCACCCTTTGTAACCCTTTTGTTAAGGTGTAAAGAATAAAGTTTATATAGATATAAAATTTAAACTGCAGTTGTACACTGTCGTTTCTATTCATATTGGCATTTTCAAATAGTACGACAACAATAGTAAAAAGTAGTGCGCTTAATTATTCTTGGTTCTAGGCGAGCGTTGTGAGAGCTATATCTATATAGTTATTCGACTCCACCGCGTCAGTAATTCATTCTTGGGTCGATGTATACGCTCTTGCAACAAAATCCAAGAAAATATACAAAATTTGACCTAGTTCAAAAACTTTATTAAACTAAGTTTGTATAAAAAGAGTTATTATAATACTAAGGAATTTATGGATGATAATAACCACTGGGAATGAGCTGATCGCTACCAAGCTATTTCTAATTTGATTTTGCTGTAATTGTATAACATATATAATTGCAAGCTGTTTTTTCTAAAGTCCCGCTGAGTTTCTTACTAGTTCTTCCCAGAATAGAGCTTTTTTCCCGAACCCATGGTAAATTAAAAGAGTGATTTTGAACAAGTATTGTTTATAATCTATATTGAATAAAAAAGTTTGTTTTTATCAACTGTTAATCCTAAGCTCATAATAGCAACAAATATTAAATGCACCATAACGTAATATTTATATTTATTTTATCTATGTTTAAAGTAGATGATGCGCAACGACCCGCCTGAGGGCATAGTGGCGACACCGCTGGACCCCAAGTGCTGTCACTGGCAGGCTAGCGTCACGGGGCCGGTCGGCTCACCGTACGAAGGTGGAGTTTTCTACCTATACGTGCAGGTGCCTTATTCGTAAGTTCATATTTTTTCAGTCAAATATGTTATAGAAAGCGGCACGGGTCGTCAGTTTGTACAACAGTCGTAACAGTTTGCGCAAAGTCAATTTATAAATCAAATTAAGATGAAAGTCAACGTGAAAAATATTTACTTATTAAAACACATGTGTCAAGCTCTACATTTGTTGTTTTTTCATCTTGCCCTCTGTTGTCGCTAGGTACTTACGTCTTTTATCACTAATGCAGAAAACTTTATTTTCTTACATTTTCTAGTGCGAACAGAATGCAGTTGTTCGTTTTGGCCTCATGAAAATTGAAACGTTTAAAGTTTATAATAATATTAAATTTCATCTATATTTCAACGCTTCGAGTTTTTGAATATATTATAGTAAAACCTCAGTGTATAACATGTGGCGGGTGGAAGGGGAAGGGGAGATTTCCCGCTGGGCAAGGTGTACAGCCCGGGAAACCGCCAACGCTCCTAGTGGTGGTTTGGAGCTATTCTATATATACTGATTTAACTTCGGAACTTTGTTAGCGCGATTTAGGCTTCGATGTGTTTCGCTTGTGGCGCGACGACAGCGCCGCCACAAATATATCACCTGTGCCGTTATAGGGTCGTGCTATTTAGGACTCTTTCTCCCATTTCATTCGGTTATTATTGCTGTATTAAAAGTATATTTTTTTCTAGGATAGGGTGACAAACGAGCACACATTTCACCTGATGGTAAGTGTTTGCTGTGACCTATAGACATCCACATCTATCTTCAATAAAGAATCAAAATGCAGATGCCTTATCATCCGTGAGGACTAAGATGGAATGCCTCTTTTCCAGTAAAAAGGGTCTCCGGTTCACTACACTCACCATACGAAACGCTGGTATTCTGTGAGAGTGTGGACCTTCCCGGCGAGCCGACCCATTATGGGAAATATCAATGGAATCTTATGATTAGGTACGCATATGTAAACGTTACGCCTAAACATTTAAGTAGCCGGCGAGGATTAGCAACGAAGCTTAGAAGGATCTGGTGCTACAATTTGTCCATCTTCTAAAATGAAATGAAATATCTACTTACGTTTCATAATGAAATTCCTCTGTCCTAAGAAAAAATGGCCAATAGTTCCTTTCGGTCGGTTTCACTGGACATCAACGATTAACAAAAAGAAATCGGGTCGTATATACCGATCTGAATATGTAGATAATACGTAATCACCTAATGCCGGGTTTATTTTAAAGAGGTCAAAAAATTGAAAACCGATTTCAAACAACTAAAAAGAATAAATTATTTTCAGATAATTTAAAAACTTCTGAAGTCAGCACTAAAATACTCGTATCGAAGGTATCCAGGAATAATTAAAGCTTCGTAAAATTATATACCCAATTTTTGACATTTTCGTGTCAACTAAATAATAAATATCACAACTAAACTAGAAAGCTTTCTAAATAGTTACATAAATAAATTTGTCCCGCATTTATCCACCCTTGGGGGGTATTTTTTTTTTTTCAAATTTAAATGGGACGCCATCCCGGTGCCTATTTTATAAAAAAAGAATTGTTAAAGTCTGTTGTGAATATTTTTGAAAGTTGTTTAAAAAAATATAACGCAACATAGAAACAGTTGTTCCTCAAATATGGAAATTAGGTATTACCAGAATGGATAACGTGAAAATTGGTAATGTTGATTACATTCCTAGTGCTATTACAGGACAACACTTTTTAACAAACATTTGTTTACCATAAGTGTTACATAAAGTCCCCTGTGCAGGGCATGTATTAGGGAGCAGGAAACGGTGGCCCACGTGCTGCTGGTATGTCCGGAGGTCGCTATGTACAGGGCTATGCGGCTCGGCACGCCGAGATCACTCCCCGAACTTCGCTCGCAACATCTAATATCTGTTGAACTTCTTCGCGGAGATTTCATGGCTTGAATAATCATAATTTTCCTGACCACACGCAAAATGTGCGCTTAGTCGTGGAGTTGCGGAAAATAGCCCGCCGTAAACTAACTAACTACGTTCCTAGTTTTGTCTAAGTAAATTTTGTCAAGGTACCCAATGAGCCCGCCCGTGGTGCGTTTCCTGACGCGCATCTTGCACCCGAACGTGTCGCGGCACGGCGACGTCGGCATCGACTCCGTGCACCACAACTGGTCCCTGGCGCTCACCATCAGCAAAGTTCTCATCTCCATACAGAGCTTGCTCACCGACCCATACACCACTGTGAGTATACGTCCAATATTAAGCGAGAAATATTTTGCAGAGGTCAGTCCTCACGGGTGACGACGCATCTGCAATTTTTTTTCTTGAAAAGACGTTACCCCCACACAAGGATTTTCTTCTGTATCGTGGAGGCAGTTTACAAACATAAATTGCACAAGGACAAACATCCAGACCCGGAACAGTTATTTGCAGGCCATACAAACACTTGTTCCGTGCATGATTCGAACCCGCGGCCCTTGGTGTTGCAACTTATTCCTAAGCCACTGCGCCACGCAGCCATCAATTTTTAATTTTGATTCTTTATTGAGGATAAATGTAGATTTTTATGGGTCACAGTAACCGCTTACCATCAGGTGGAATGTGTGCTTGTTTGTCACGCTTATCCTTTAAAAAAAGTAATAATTTTTCGGCAGGTGTGTATGGAGCCGGAATTGGGTGATATGTACGTCCGAGATCGGGCGCGTTTCGAGAGTCTGGCGCGGCGATGGACTTGGCGCTACGCAATGCACGACATACTGCCCTACTAATGGTCATTAACACATCCGTCTATGGGTATAAAACACTAATATCGGATTAATTTTAAAAGGAGCGTGAATATTAAGAACGCAGCCGCATTTGTCACCACTGCTCTATTAAAACTTATAAAGTAAAAACCTACTTCAAAGAACTAAAACGAAATGATTATCATCAAATTGGTTGAGATGTTAAAGAATTATTTCGCCATAAGTCGTTCTGATGCCTTTGGAAATTGAAGAGTATGATGGTTTTCTTATGTATCCCATCATCAAGCATTTATATGAGACCACCCCTGAGATCATGGTAAAGAATTAAAACATACTTAAAAATTATTCTAACGATTTATAATCTCCTCCATTTTTTAAGTCGGTTATAATTGAGTTAACATGACACACTAGCGGCGCATTCTCTATTATTTCACGTTAATATCAATAAATGTCCTTTTAACTATTGAACTTTATATGCAACAATGATACCGCTGAGCTGAGTAAATATATTTGAATAAACACTTAATGGCATGGTTATTGTAATTGCGTTATAATTCTCCCGTTGTTTATGATAGTAAAATCTGTCTCCGGTCGCATATGCGTTATATTTGAAAATAGTGAAAAAAAAAATGCCGCATGCCGCGTTCAATAATATAAACAACATATAAACAACGCAACAGCGATGGGACCTCGACAAGGTAGATGTTGCGTCACTACGGCAGATGTAGAGTGCATATTATTAAGTAATAGAGACATAGAGAAAGGAGAAGAAAAAAAAGGATACTTATCTGACGTAACGCGACAGTGATACGAAGAATCCGCCTTGCAACATGAAATTTATTTCGCATTGCCACAAACGGCCTTACTTATAATGGTTGATTGTCGCTTGTTTCACTTAAGTATTAAGAGGAAATTAAAACTATTGCTGTCGCTCTGCGAACGCTCGGCGTCCGGTAAGGACAACTGCAGATCCGACTAAATAGCCTAAGTAAAAAGGCATAATTCAAGAATTGGCTCTACCATCTCCTCGTAGAATATTGGACCAATTTCAAAGATATTTCATAAACTGAATAAGAAGGATATACACTGTGTCCCTATGTTTTTATTTTATCAGTATTTGTTCGTGCTCGAACAAAAGAAGTAGAAATAACGAAGACTTGGTAGTTCACACGACGTTTAATCCTCTTTGATACTGCTATTTACAATGGCACTGACTTCAATTATTTAAACTATTACAATTCTTAAAATATGTTGTAAGCAACGTCGTCCAGCTGAGCGCGCAGGACGTGCTGCACGGTGATTGGTCGTTTTAGGTTTGCCTCTACGAGCACTAAATCTTTTAAGGGTAAGTATGAATGATTCCATTGAAAGATCACTTACGACTTCAAGGTGAACACATTTGTATCAAAAGCAAATAAATATACATAAATGACATTTTGTTATTTTACATCCGCGTCCCTTTCTGTCTGTGATAAAAAAGATCCAGCGAAATCGGTACCTACAACACAGAACGGAAAATCTGGTTCGATACGGTATGAGGGTAAGTTCCCCATAATATTGTTTAAAGTTTTACCCTGAAAGCGACAACATACTCCCGAAAGTACTTATTTATGTTTTCTGAAACGAATGAGAATGTTAAATAGTGAATCTTGGATCACCGGGCCTATCATTTGTAAATCGTTGATCGACAGACCGGTTGTAGTGCGTGCTGCCGCATCGAACACTACGCGCAACTTAGTTGGTTCACTTTCATATAGCGTGATGTGGGAGGACATAAAATGCCTAGCTTATCTACCGACCATTCACTTAGGTGCCCTAAGGCTTCGTATTCATTTATGAATTTGACATATAACGCCTTAAGTTCGGGTTGCTTTCGAAAACGCGACTCTAGATTTAAAGTCTTTTGTAAGCCATATTGTAAGAGTCACCTAAACAATTGGGATATTCATGAAGAGGAAGCCCGACACAAAATCGGCCATCACTCGTGCGAGTAGTGTTAGAAGTGAAATATTCTTGACATAGTTTTTGTTCCTTTGTTAGACGAACAGTTGTGTTTGGAAAGGTTTCAAGCTCCCAAAATCTAGTCGGCTCACCATTTAAGGTGGCACAAGTCGCGGGCTCGAACTCGCTGGTGGGCGCGGCCAAAAAGCTCGCTGTCTCACCTGGCATCGTGCCCGACAGAGATAGTATCAGTGATGAGCATATCGACACTAGTATTCACGCACGTCATGTTCGTACGGCATTCAGAACCGTTTGAACAAAAACGAAGTTACACGAACACGATGCAACATCTATACTAATATAATAAAGCAGAAAATATAGATCTTTACTCCGTCTAAAAAAAAGTCCGCGATACCATATGTCTATTTTTTATATATAAGCCACAATTAGGCATTTTGATTTTGACAAAAAAAAATATGAAAATTTAATTATTAGGCATGGCATATTTATCCTTACGAACGAAAGTTACTTCATTATCAAGACAATTTTTTGAAGATAAAGTTCGTTCTTTATACCATGTTTATATAGATAGTTTAAGAGATAATGTAAAATTAAAATAATTCAATACTTGGCCTTGACGCGCAAACAACGCATAACCGGCATAACCCTTAGCCCGGTGCGAACTGAGAAGCCAGTATTGAAAGCTTCTATGAGCGAGGTTAGGTTAGCCGTTAGTTCAATCATTATCTATCTCTACACAAATAAATAAAATTGAAGTGTCTGTTTGTAATGTCAAAATAACAGCTTTTTACTAATTGCATATGAAATTATATACGCTACTTATAACCACAATTTTTAACATTTAAGGTACGTTGGGGTAATACCGGACGGATTTTCGAATAGTTGGAAGAGTCTGCCAAAAACTTTAATTTCTCGACATTCGTATACGTCAGATTTATGGAACATGGAGCAAACCGTTAATCGTTAAACGTAGTTTAGCTCTGAGAATCTATTGCTTGTGTAAACTCAACGGTTTCTGCTTTAAAGATGTGCGAAAACTAGACATACTTTTTTATATGCATAATGAAAAATTGGCCATTAAGGGGTAAGACCGGACTTAAATTTAAAACCACTTCTACTGCTTAGAGAAAAAGTTTATAAAAGAGATTTGTCCTATCTTTAACGCTCAAAAACATATTTCAATATGATCTATAAATTACTAGAAACATAAATGTTCCAAACGATTTTCTCTTTTTTTGTTTTTTGCCATCCGATCTTATCCCTGAATAAAGAAATTGTAATTTTATGTTTCTCAAACTTTGTTATGACATAAGATGGAATTACTCAATATAAGTGAAAGATCGGATGCATTTGATTTTATACGGAAAAAAAAAATTACAACATTAAACAGTAAGGACTGGCGAAATGCCCTGGGATAATGCAGGAGTTAAGGAAGATATAATATTAACAAAGCGGCATTTATTACTATAAATTATTTTTTAAATAATTATTATAAATTACATTTTGATTTGTAATAGAGGATAGATATAGATGTCTATGGGCTGCAGCAATCACTTAACATCAGGTGGACTGTGTGCTCCTTTGTCACCCTTATCCTATAAAAAAAATGTATTTTAATGTATGTACTTAAAAGTAATAAAACCATCGTATTGTTTTATTACTTTTAAATATACAGACTTGCTAACGAGACTGAGTCCCATAGTGACTTGAGTAATCAACGAAAAAATATACACGACCAATGAAAGTTTAACAACCACTGCCATATTTGTAACAGGCAAAGATCGGATAATATTCATCCGATCTTCACTCACGAGGGGAAACATCGGATCTCGGCCTACAACGATCTTAGCCCTGCATGGACCAGCTTTATTTAGCTATAACTTCATAAAAATTAGTATCCACACAAAATAATAACAAAAGAAGCCATATTCTCGCTAAAAATCGTAAATAAAAGTGATAGGGAAAGATCGGATGGACAAAAATAATACAAAAATTACATTGTTTTATAAAATGCCACGCAGCACAGGTCCCACTTGCCGGAGTGACTGGCGCGAACTGAGGGTCGGGGCAGGATGAAATGGCGTCGTGTAGCATATTGTTAGCTTTTCAAAATATAGCATAATTCGCCGGGAATTTGAATCCTTCGGTCTTGCCCCATCACCGATCTTACTCCAACGTACCTTATGTATGTCTGTCAGTCTGTTTGTTCCGGTTAATTTCCAAAACGGCTGGACCGATTTTGACGGGACTTTCACTAGTAGATAGCTCATGTTATAAGAAGTAACTTAGACTGCTTAAATTTTAGAAAAATTATTAGGTGTCCGTGCAACAAAATTAACACCCTAAACTAAATGCGGACGAAGTCGCGGGGAACAGCTGGTAGCTAAAATAAATTCAAAATTAACTGAGTGCTTTTATCTATCTCCCAGGTGAGCGTAACAATGATTAGTTACATCTTTATTTCTGAACTCTTTCATTTCACGTTGCTATGGTATTTTGAAAGTTTAATTGATTAATAAGTATAAGAGGTTGATAGCAAATTTATCAAGAATCATTTCTTGCCTACACACTTTCATGTATCGTGTACGTTTTTCTTTAAAACTGGATAAAACCGCGCATACTATGCCGACAGATAAAATAAAAGTACTCCATTAATTATGACAATTTTTCCATACATTATTATCAAATAAAATATTTGATTGCAATTATAAAATGCTTGAACTAGGTGTCAAGTCATGCCACGCATCTCGGACACGTGATGACGCGGGTGAAACCACGAAATTATTAGGCGCTGCTTTATCGCTTCATATTATACCTCTGTGGCTCTATATACCTAATATAGATTGCTTACTTTATTATGTTTAGTTTTTCCCGAGTGGTCATGCAGCGATCTCTCAAGAGTTCGGCTTCGAACGTGTATAACTGCAAAAATTATCCAACGGGAACGAAATACCTGAATAAACGGTATCATATATGTTATTTACAGCTCCGTGGCGCAGTTGCTTAGCAATGAATTGTTGCACTGGCAGGCGCGGGTTCGAATCCCGCACGGAACAAGTATT